ATATAATTTAACGTCAACGAATCGTAAAAAAAATATTACGTATAAAATTGTTGTAGTGTTGTAAAAGTTATTACATCACAACTTTTATAAAATTATTTTGCACTTGTTGCTCTTTTGAATATTTCAGTGAAACTTTATTTAGTTAAACTAAATATACATATTTGAAATTTTTTTACATTTTTAATAGCATTTTTTTTTCTTTTCTTTAAATTAATTTTCTGAAAATAACAAAAATGAAGCTTCATACTAATATTACAACTGCTGAAATACAAGAAATTTTTTTGAACATTGCGCTATTTTTAAAAGAAAGTACTTTAATGGAACACATAGTAAAATTCTACTATTTTGGAACTTTTAAGATAAATAAAATTCTAAGAATTTGAATTCAAATGTATAGCCACACTACGGCGAGTAATAGAACACACTACTGAGAAACATAAATCTTCCTACCTACATACGATATAATAGGAAATTAAATTACAATATCTCCCGTTAGTAAGTTATCGACTGAATAATTGTAATTCACAGACAAAGTCGACCACAATTTCGGGGCATCCGATATTCCATTACCATTTTCGTGTCACGTCCTGTCGTACCGATTCAGCAAGTTTGCGCACCGCGGAAATCAAAAAATATGGACAGTGTTGCCAGTTTGTTTCGAGAATTATTCATTGAATTGAACGTGGTACTTCATCAATGAAGGAATATAACGATTTAAAACAGAAATTGATGAAAATTAGGATGAGAAGAATTTAGTGTATATTTGACTATTCATCATATATTTAAAAGTATTAGAAAAAATTGATTGAAATATGATATTTTTATGAACAATATAATTAGATATGACGTTTTTTAATTTACAAATTTGTAAATTAACAACCTCAATGAATTTTAATTATCAATAAAATTCATACTTATCAATAAAATAGTTCTACAAATATTGCTTACAATAAAGAAGCACGTTATGTGTTGTAAATTATTTCTTGCAAAATTCATCCGTTTCAAAATTTCGAAGACTAATTTTTTTAAACGATACCATATATATTCTATCGTTTGACTGCGAAATTTGGAAACTCGACTCTAGTGTAACGAACAAAGTAATAACGAACGAAAGAAGAGAGAAGATGAGGGATTCCTAATTTCGTTTCAAGTTCAATAAATCATATGCCTCGTCTGTGATTTTTTAATATGTCGGTAAGGTCACAGCCCACGAAAGTCGGTAAGGTGCAATGTCTATTCATATATCTCGTCTGTAGTGTAGTTTCATTCCATGCTCTGTTGCTAACATAGAGATTGATAAAAGAAACATAGATTTGCAAATTTCGAAATCATATTTGTGTCATCATCATTACATGTATATTATACAGTATCATCTGTATTGACGAATACATTTATGCAAATTTTACTCAACATATTAATAATTTTTCACGCACGAGTGTTTTATGATGTCATAAATGAAATTGGACTTATTTAGAACAATTTCGCTAGGCTTATCTCAAATATGCGCTTCATCATTTTCCTCATCAATCAATCACTGAATCTTTAAGCTGTCGATTGTATCTGCTTACGTGCGATAAAGCTTTCCATACTTTTTTCGTACGTGAATGGTGTACCAGGAATTTTTACACAGAATTCAATTTCTGAGCCACAATTCAGATAATTGCAATGAATGCGATAACATTCAGAAATAATCGATAAAAATAGAAAATTGCTCACTCGCTTGAATGTCATCCAAAATCTCTCTTTCTAATAATGAGTGAAATTTGAAAAATTTCCACTTTGAGTTACCACATTGAGTACCATCGGTACCATTCTTCCTCTCATACTCGTAAAATCTATGCGCTCGCAAGCGTTACATATTAGATATCGAAACTGTAATCTAATCTTAATTTATGCTGCTGAGCGAAAGCTATCGCTTCGTCCAATAAATAATAATAGCACGAACAAGCTGCAAGTGGAAAAGCTAGCACCGGTAGTTGCATATTGTGGCAACGAGTTTTTCGTTCGCGTTACTTCTATTTTTCTGGTAATCTGGTATCATATATCATAAGGAGATAGAAGGTAGAGAAAGGCACGCAGGAAGAGGTCGAACCAGGTTGTTCCCCATGCTCGTAGTAAAAGTAAGATCTATTTTCATTTGGAGCTGATTGCTGACAGACACGCGTTCAAAACGAAACGTAAACCCTGTTATCCTGGAATTTCTGTGCATCCGCGAAATTAGTCTTCTTCTTTCAGTCATGTTTCTCGCTACTTCTCGCACCATTTTCTTTTCTTTTTTCTTTTTTTTTTTTCTTTTTTTAGGCACGTCCCTTTTCCTTCAACTCTTGCACTTGGAACTGGATATCGCGGGACCAGATTAGATTCGAGATTATTTCATTCTTACGTGATGCCGTCCAATCGCAAATATTTCGTATTCCAAGATGCTTTTATGTACATACTGAATATCATAACTGACGCTTCATTTAATTAAGCGAAATTACCAAATGTCAGATAACAGCAGTTGACGGTAATGATAAAGCAATATTGCGGCATCGAAACACCCTGGAATACGAATCTAACGACTTACTAATTGCAAGAAGATCCGGGGATAATGTAGTTCCGGGAAAAAATCAGAAAGTGGAGATAACTCAGTCGGTAGAGCATCAGACTCTTAATCTTGAGGGTCCAGGGTTCGAAACCCCTGTTCGGGCGAAAAAAAAAAAAAA